AGACTACTATTATTGCTAAATATTATCATCACCATTTTTATGCTTATTGCAATTAGTTTCCTGTTTTTATTAGGAACCAAGCTCAACCATTTGATGCTAAAGCTCATACCATATTGAGTGGTCGATCTTATGTGTTACATGTAAATGTGTAAGATACACATGTGTGGACCTGGTCCGCTTCTGTAACAACTTGTTCCTTGTAACGCTTCGGTAACGACTTGTGTAATATACACAAGTAGTGGAACTGTAAAAGTAACGCGGTGGTACCTGATTTGATTTCGGATCTCGTTTTCGGGTTGGCTCCGCAGTTCAGGTCCATTTCCAGTTCCGATTTGAAACTAAGCATTCCAGCCCAGCTGGTTGTGAGGTTACCGTGCCTAGTGGGAGGTCACGAGTTCGAAACCCGCTAGGCACATAAGGGTTTGAAACTCAATGGAGTGAGTTTCAGTCCTGTTTACTCCAGGCCCCCCAGCCCCCCTCCTCCAACCCCCCGGAATAAAAAAATAAATAAAAACAATCAATTTGATTTTGGAGGAATAGAAACAACTTTGGACCAATTCTGTTCCTGAAGCGAACACCCATTCAAACTCCATGCAAAACAATCACTTGTCCCCAAACCGGGACAGGGACTACAACTATGCCATGAATACGGGCCATATTGTCTGTCTACTCATATTAAAAAGTTAGGATGTCATAGCACCTTAGATTATGTTTAAGACCCTGGTATTAGGCAATTGGGAAAAACTTGGGCATGGCATGACAACTTGGTATCTGTATGGGATAAATCAATTTTCACAATACTGACCGCAAAGCATAATTCCCGATTTAAAATCAAATTGCAGGACCCTTTTCCCGATCCGCTGTGAACTTTAATGCGGGATGCAAGACAGCAGTGTCAAACATTGTGATGGCATTTGCAGTCATGATCACACTGTTGGTACTAACACCACTATTCCAATACACCCCCATTGTTGTGCTGTCGGCAATCATCATCTCTGCTATGCTCAGTCTCATCGACTGCAATGCTGCAATTCACCTCTGGCGTGTCGATAAGTTTGACTTCTTTGTTTCCATCAGTGCTTACATTGGTGTGGTTTTTGGTAGTGTCACCATTGGTCTGGTCACTGCTGTAAGTGTATATCTATCTCATAATCCTCAACCCTCTTATCAATTTGAAATCTCGTTCCATTACCACCAGAGAGTATTTTTTTCCATGGTAGAATAATATGTAGAAAAAAATGTTAAATGATGAGTAGCTAGTCATGAATCTTTTATGAAATTAGATGGCTTGATCATCAATCTTAACTTCAATAATAATGGCAGGGTGACATGAAAATGAATGCATGATAATGATGCCACTAAGCAGTCTAGCTCGATTACATTGCCCTATCTGACTCCATAAATTTACTTTGGAGCTAAGTTGAAAAGGAAAATATACTGTTAGGTTCATAAGAATGCAAATTGCTTGGAACACAGCTCAATTGTTTTGTACTTTGGTTAACTTCGATTGAGGAATAAGTAGTATAGTTCCAAGCTGTACCTATATTATTCTCATATGCATATTTCAGTCCAAATGTGCCTCAAAGAAGAAACCAAACCTATGACAAAGTATTCCAAGTAAGAACAACTTTAAACCTACTAAAAAGGAACCTGGGAAACACAACTAAACAAGCCCTAGGTTTCTGATATGACTGCTGGGAATGAGTGCAGGTTGCATTGTCCTTGTTGAGAGTGTTGCTTTTTGTCGCAAGACCAAGGACTTCAGTTCTTGGTAACCTCCCTCATACCAACGTCTACAGAAATGTAGAGCAGTACCCAAATTCCAACAATGTCCATGGCATTCTTATACTAGAAATTGGGGCTCCAATTTACTTTGCCAATGCAAGCTACTTGAGAGAAAGGTAAAAGTCTTAAACCTAATTTTTAACATTAATACCTCGATGCCAGATAATAAACTCGCCAACTAATCAACATTTTTATGTTGGTATAGGATTTTGAGATGGATAGATGAAGAGGAAGACAAATTAAAAACCGCGGGAGAGGATAGCTTGAACTATCTGATTCTCCATATGGGAGGTCAGTGTATTGCTAATTTGCTATCATGTGTGGACGAATACATAAATATTAAAGAGACCAAAAATTACCACTTTATCAGACCTTGGGTGGTGGGTGGGTTAAACTTGTTACTAAATCAGATCTTTTAATGTAATTTGGCCCATTGCATTATACAAGGTTGTCACGGCGGTAAAGCGAGCCTCAGCGCTAGCCAACCACCATATCGTCTAGGCAACAATTAGGCGACTAGTCACACCTTTTATACTCCCTAACATGTGTGTGTGCGTGTATAATATTATGTTTTTAAATATATTTAAACATACGACACATAGAATTGTATATGCTATAATATATATAGGGTCCGGTTAAAACTTAAAAAATATATACAGGGTCCGGTGAGAAATGAGAATGATGGGGTTGCACATTTCTGCTTAAGATATTTGCACACTTTGCAAAAGCAGAAAAAACCACTTAAAAAAATACCATCACGTTTATTCATTCTTGTCAGTGCACATTGAAATTTTATATAATGCGCAATTCTCACATCCAACACTGCAGATTCATTCTCATTTTGGTCCTTCGATTATATTCTCATTTGATCCAAATTCTATATATACTTAACTTGTGTCCCCCAAAATATACAACACTTAGATTATTAGAGATAAGGGACATGCGGATCTGCTACTGCTCCAAGGAAAAGAAAGAACAAGCAACTAAAAACTCCCAAACTCAGATAGAAGAATCGGGTAAACCCATAAAACCTGGGAATGAAAGACATTGGATGCTCAAATGCTTTCCTGCAATGCAGCGACTGGAGTTGTATGCATTATTACCTTCAGAAGCTTTTAGAGTTCGACGGTTGAGTGTTAGGACTGTTCAAGTAAAATTTGGGCTTTACTTAAACTCTTAATGAAATTAGTTTAGTTTCCTAAAATTTTGTTTCTAAAATCTGAATCTATTTTATCTTGGGCCTGCGCCCTGCGGTTACTCAATTTATAAAATGAGTTGGAGTGTGAATCTGTGATTAATCGATTTATAATAATCCGACGAACGCCTTATCGCCAAGATGAGGCTTGGACGGTGACTGGACTCTAGAGGACGCCATGGTCGCCTATTCTTCTTCTGGCGAGGCGATGGCACATGGCGACCCCTCTCGACTGACTGGACACCTAGTTGGTGCCTAGCCAATGCCGTAACAACCCTGGCATTGTGGGTTGGTGGATTGCTATAATACATATCCCTTTGTCCCATAGAAAGGTTCCCACTTTCCTTTTTTGGACGTCTCATACTCTCATATAAAGGTTCTCATTTCTATTTTAGGAAACAATTAATAATCTTAAATGAAAAATTAATCATTAAATATTAAAAAAATACATTCATAACATCACAATTATCAACACTAATCCATTACTACTATATTTTATACCTATTAAAATATGTCTCAAAATATACTGCAACTACCTTATTTAATTATTATCTAAAATATAACCATGAATTTTGCCATGGGAACCTTTCAACGGGAGTACGGAACGGAGGTAGTATGTAAATATTCTCACGTCAAAATATTAAAGATTCCAGGATCTGGGTTAGACTAGTTAAGTAATCAAATTCAATCTTTTTATGTTATCTGACCAGGGTGCTTTATGGCCCATTTATGGGTAATTGGATTGCTACTACATTATATGTGTAGATAGTTGCAGATCACTTATTAGAAATAGACATATGAAACTACCAGACCTTGGGTTAGACTAGTTAGCTGATTAGGTTTAATCTTCTAATGTAATTTGACTTATGTGCATTATGTGTCAAGTGAGTGACCCTGATCAAATTATGAATTATATAACATTTCTACCATGTACAAGGCACAATAACCCGATAAATTGTTTGAAACTTAATAAACGCTAAACACAAAGATATTCATAGTACATCCTTGGTCCCCCCTGGCGAATGAGTAATGAGATGGAAGTCTAAAAGACAAAGAAAACATCAGATTTCCGTGTTTTCCTGCTTGCATAAATAATAGCATGCAAAGGCACAACTAATTCAAAACTTACACCCAATACTCTCTTGTTTGACTCACAGCTGTTGGCAACATTGATACAAGTGGAATCACCATGCTCGATGAGCTTAAGAAAATTTCTGACAGAAGAGGCATTAAGGTATATTACCTAAGGAGCTTTCTCTTTCTAGGCTGGAATTTTTCATAGTCTGGTGCAATAGAAGGCTCGATTCAAAGGTAAAAAGCTTAGAGTTTTGACTGATTTATTGATCTTGCAGATTGCATTTGTTAATCCAGGAGCAGAGGTGATGAAGAAGATTAAAAAATCAAAACTGTTAGAGATGATAGGACAAGATTCGATTTTCCTAACTGTGGGTGAGGCAGTTGAAGTATGCAACTATATGCTTCACTCTGGGAAGTAAGGTTCAGGGACAGATTCTGAGAGATGGAGCAACCGTGTTCGAGTAACCCATTTTTGGAAAGAACGACCGCTTGGATCTTGAAAAACATGAGAGAGGAATATAGAAGGGAAACTTAAATGGAAAGAACATTTGAGTGAATATTTTAAAAATGGTTGCAACTCAATAAGTCAATTGTAGATATTTGTTTGAACTAATTTTATTTGTATATTTCTATTACAAAAGTCTAAGAGATCAACTCATCAAAGTATATGTATAACTTGACATACCTTTGTAATTTCCCAGGTAAGTTCAAACTTTGAAATAAATTCCCTACAATTTCTTTCGTTTCACTACACTTCTGCAGTTCCCAAACAGAGCCTTGTACTCCGCATAGATATAAAAAGTACTTATATATATAGACGTAAGTTCAAGATGTACACTGATTGTTGAAGTTGCAGTGTCTCTCTTTTTGTATCTCTATCTAACTGTCTTAGTAAGTTAGTATAGCTTTATATGAGATATCATAGACCACCATAACATAGATGATAGATCCAAAGATCTTAGATGAAGACAAACCTATAACTATAAAAGCAATAGTAACACATACGTACATCTTTGTTTAAAGGTTTCACAGGATTGGTATTTCGTAGAACACTCCAAATTTCCAAGAAACCTATGGAGGAAAAACTAGAACTGATAACAAGTTAAAGATAACATTTTCTTTATAAAGGACCGAAGTGAAATGGATCAAGAATCAAAACCTGAGTAAATGCCACTCTCTCTTAATAACCTCTTCTCCTCTTCAACATAGCTCTTCCCTCTGCTAGCCTGCCCCATATCCCTCTTCCTCTTTTCTTTCTGTGAGAAAGAAAGGTTCTTCTCTTTCTGGGTGCGAGCATGAACCAATTGCTCTGCTTCGAAAAGTGCATCCCTAGTCTTCAACCGATCTTGATAAGTTTCCTCTTTCTCCTTTTCACGTGCATCTTTTCCTTTTGACCACGACCAATCGTGCTTCTGCTCATCTTCCTCCTTTGGTTCCGGCACTTTCAAAACTGATAATCCACCTCTATATCCATGCTTTCTGAGAGCTTCGAAGTCTATTACCTTTCTCTTCCGCTTCCAACTCACAGCTACATGAATATACAAAGATTTTTCAAAACTCAATACTGACATTTGGAATTCGAATGTCCAAAATAATGAGTTACATCCAGCTAACAGAGATTTCAGAGTCAGCAAACAAGTTCTATGAAGTTGGATATTGTTTTCAGGGTACAAAAAGTTAAAACCTGGAAAATATACAGATTATGGGGAAAAAAGATCTACCACGAGAAGGTTCGTCCTTGGAGATTAGGGTTGAGGGTTTCTCCTGTAAATTTTCCTCTGCATCTGAATCCGCAGTTGAGGAATCGTCGTTTTCGTCTTCCGATGATGAGGTGTGCCAACCCTTTCGCGACGGGAACGTCCTCTGCATCCTTCACAAATCGATACTTTTTGCTGCTAGTATAAGCGCAACATCAAGGATGATTATAAAGCACCAGACGAGAGTAAGGGAGGATATGACATGAAAAGTGATTTGCAGTAAAAAAGTATATAATGTTTGGTAATAGAAGTGATTTTAGTTCAAATGTAAAAATTGAAGTGTTTGATAAAAAGTGATTTTTAATGTATGATAGGATTAAATCATACAAAAGACCTTACATAAATTATACTCAGTAGAATATACGAAAATTTTAAAATGCACTTAACATGCTCGTTACCGAGCACATAATCAAACTTGACGCCAGATACTTTTAGAATTAAGTGCGTTTTGAGAGTTGAGACCAAACTTTTTTTGTCTTAACCATCCTTATCATTTTAGACCACAATTTTAGTCACTTGTAAAATATAGCACGTACATATTAGAATTTAGAAATTTAGAAATGTCGAAAAAAGTTTTTTTTTTGTAAATTCTAAATCAAATATTGCATCGATCTCAACATTATTTATAAATTCTTTTTATTAAATTTTTTATTTCTTCAATCAATAATTAATTAAAATGGTCAATTTCGAAGTTAACACATGATTCGAAGTTAACACAAGAATTTTTTGCATGATCATAAAAGATCATGTTTGAGTGGGTAATAGTGATGGCCGGGTGAGTGGTTCAAATACAAATAAATAACTTGATCAACATTTTGGTGGATATATAAGTATGCTAAGAAAAACCATATCACGCGTTGAGAACCTCTGTCTTCTCACTAGAATTTTCGCATCCCCTGGGAACGAATTTTCTTGGTTGCTCGTGAACTACTCCAGCTCTCTCTTCAATCGATTAAATCTTTTAACCCTCAAATTCCCTCCATTGTTGTTCGTAATTTACCTCTCCTTTCTATTACTCGATTTGTTTTGAAAATAATTCGGAGATTATAACGACAACAAAGGGAAACCAGATATAGGGCTCGCAGATCTACAGTTCCTCGACTTTTGGATTTCTGTCTGAAGCTCAAATATTGACGATTGTTGCTGGATTTTAAGGATCGATTGGGGGTCGCCAAGCCCTGGCGAACCTCCCAAACACCGGTTTTAGCTTCTAACCCCTCCTGGAACTCAAGAAATGAGAGATCCGTTGCTGAAAACAACTGTTTATAGTAGAATTGAAATTTTTCAGATTTCTCTTGAATCTCTTGACTAATTTCAAAACGGGGCATCAACTGGGAGTCACCTCACCTAAGCGGTCAGTTTGATACCTGTTTCAAGACCTGAGATACCGATTTCCAGAAACTAGGCACTGTTCATTCCGTAGACTAGCTTTGAAACAGGATTTCTCTCTCAGCTGATGGTCTGTTTCAATTCTGAAGACATATTTGGATTCATATCACTAAAACGAAGCTAAGTATACTATTTTCGCTCTATTTTTCTGAGTTTCAGTTTCTCCCCATCCCTTCGATATTGTTCACAGTTCTTGTACTACTGTGTTCATACTTGTTATGTAATTGGTTGAATTTCTAAGCTTCTGAGTGTTTATCCGTGTACTATTCATCTTCCTCAGTGCTATTCTGTCTTAAGCTTTGTTGACTGATTCTGGGAATTTGGAATTTCTAGTTAGTAATTGTTTCTAGATTCTGTTTTCTGTTCCTGGTTTGTTGGTAGTTCCCATACGCCTGTGATTGTTATTCTGGTGTGTATTGCTATTATATAAACTGCGATCTTGACTAGTTAGGAATTATTTGTGGAATCTCTGTTGGTCCTTTTGTTATTTGGTTTTCATTTGGGAGTTCCATATAGCAAGGGGAATCTGTGGGAGTATTCTTGGAATTATCTGATCAAATTTGCCATATTTGTGAACTGTTAATCTTCTCCGATTGCCTGCTTCAGTTCTGTGTACTTGTTTCTGGGCTTGTTGTCTGCTTCCTTGTGGTTCTGGTTGCTTGTTTCTTCTGTTTGAACTAACATGCAGGTTGCTTTAAGTTTTTCCAACTCAATATGACGAGGAAAAATAAGCAACATAGGACCCCTCCGGCGAAAGATAAACAATTTGATGAAAAAATCAAGTACCTAAATGAAAAGAAGGCTGCCAAGTTGAAGCTCCAAACAGAAAAAATGATCAAGAAAGGGGTGTTCCAGGAGGGTGTACCAACTGATTCACCAGTTTTTTCTGCTAACTCTACTGAACTTACTGCCTCTTGTACTGAGCCATTTATTGAGGGCCTGGAACTTGATGCTTCTGCAACTGAAGTACTGAGTGTTGAGGCTACTGCTGCGGCATCAACTATGGAGGGGGGGCTTGATGCAACTAATGTTGAACCTCCTAAACAGGGGGGGCTTGAACTGCTGGATACTTCTCTGCTTCTAACTGATTCTAGTACTGGGTTTCATCTATGATTGAAGGCATTGCAAAGGAGGTGGTTTCATCTTCAAAAATACTGCCTACAATTGCAGCTGCTGGACAGATTATTCCAACTACACCGGTGGTTCCTACAGCTAAAACTGCAGCTTCCCAGGACTCGGGGGACGCTGCTTCTTATGCTCAGGCCTTGTTGGGGATGGGTTTGGCATCCTCTTCTGCTAAGGGACAACCTGAATTATCACTGGCTATCAAACCCGGGAGAGAGCCTATTGTTGAAGCTTCTGATGTAAATGAAGAAGGTAGTCAAATGGAACCTGAGAACTCAATCTCTTTAGGGTCCCATGATACACTACCATTGAAGACAGTTGATGAAAATGATGTTCCTGACAAAGAACCCAAAAAGTGGAATTCATTATTCCGAGACAATCGAGTTCCTACCAGTGGCCTCAAACTAGAATACTTCCCCCCACCGGGGAAAAACTCGACTTCTCACATCTCCAGGTTCCTACCTTGATTGAAGTTTGGGGCTATTGCTTGGTTGGGCACTTTTCTGGTAAATTTCCTGGTCTGAAAGCCATTCATGAAATGACTGCAAACTGGTCCGTCGTTGTGGAGGTTAAATCTCACAGTAAGGGTTGGGTCATCTTCAAGTTTAAATCTGAGGAAGACCGAATGCATGTGCTTGCCGAGGGGCCTTATATTCTGTATGGTAAAACTATGTTTCTCAAAGAGCTTTCTGAAGACTTTTCTATCGACGGAGATGAATTTCTAAAGGTGCCTATTTGGGTAAAATTCCCCAACCTATCCATGCGACTTTGGAAGGCAAAAGAACTGGGAATGATCGCCTCCCAAGTTGGTGTGCCTATCACCACCGATAAAGTCACACAGGACACGGTCTACACCCATTTCGCAAGAGTTCTTATTGAAGTGGATATTTCTAAGGCCCCGGTGATGCAATTTCCCATTGTACCCCCCCTCGGGTAAGGAGTATTTGCAACGAGTGATTTATGAGACCTTCCCGGCGGAGAAAGAGAGGGTGTTTTGGACATTTTCTCTGTTTGTTTCTTGTTTTGGAATGATATTATATTATGTGGAGTGGCTACGTAGTTCGCTACGTTATTTGCGGAGTTGCTGGTTCGGTTAAATACTTAAATAAACCATTCTGTTTCTGGAAAAAGAAGGAACAAATAAAGACATTTTGCTGCATGGGTTCAATGTCGTACACATCACGAGTCCTGTTAATTTGGTATATACTGAGTTCTTTTTTAATTATAAGTTATAACTATACATTTTTTTATGTTTGCTAATGTAGAAATTTGACAATTAATATCTTTCACTTCTTATTATAAAAAAAAATCAAAAAATTAATATATATTTTTCTGTTCCTTAAAACTTTGTCAATTTTCTTTTTTGGTTATTTCATTAACTCTGTTACTTTCCCTCTTTTAAGTAAAGAACGTGATTCCTATTAATTCTCTTTCGTCTAGACAAACCTCAACCGCACAATTTTTACTCTATTAATTCACGTGTTGATCAAACTCGGAGGAAAGTTCAGATTCGGCTGAGGTATTTGACTGGGAAGGCCGAAGGGTTCAAAGCATGCATGAATTGGAGAGTGATGATATTGTCAACAAATTCATAACTAATGAAAATGGAGCACACGTGGCCTTTGTGAAGAAAAGACATCAAATAAAGAGTTACATTGCGGTGGCAAGGCTTGGAAGGAATCTCCAAAGGGAAGATGACCTTAATGTGCCGGCTATCTCTTTCACAGACCCGTGCTTGGTAGCACTGCCCGGGGTGAAGCGGACTTTGAGATGGTACAATTTTAATAAAGAAATTTTTTATCTTAATGTTGGGTGTTTCTTTGACCCGCAGGCCAAGATCAACGTTGATTATTGGAATTCCCGAAGACTGGCTATCATAGAGGAGAATGCCTCTACCTCTATTCCATTTGTTGAAACCCGTGGGGATAAGGCAATTAATGGGGGTAAAGGCTATTTGGTGACAAACATGTATGAAATGGGGTATGATGATGTTATTACCATGTTTGAGGTGAATGAAAATGGCAAAACAGTTGCCTACGCGTGGGAAACTGACCAAATACCGAAGGGGGTTAACATCGTTAGGCTGGGACCGAAACTGGAAGAGTTAAATGCCGATGATAATGGAGTTAACTTCACCGAAGACTTCCTACTTAGCTGCCCGGAGGTAAAAAAGAAGGGTGACTGGTATGACTTTGACAAATCTGCCTTTATTCTTCGTGTATTATCTTTCTTTGATCCTAACCTGGACAGGAATAAGAAGTACTTGAAAGAAATGAGGAAAAGGGCTAGAAAAGAAAAGAAGGACAAAGGTGGGATTGATCCTGAAGATGAGGTTTTCTCTTCGGACCTTTATCTTTCTTAATGCGTTTGGGTGTAGTTCGGCCTGCTTGTTTAACATGATGATTAAAATAGCAACATGGAATGTTAGGGGTTTGAAAAAACCTTCTAAACATAACACTATTAAGAACTTTATTAGGTTTAATAATATTAATTTATGTTGTTTTTTAGAGACAAAACTGAACCCGAATAGTTTTAATAATTATGTTTCTAATGTGTGGCCGGGGTGGGTGCATGAAACTAATTTTCAAACTATTCAAGGCGGGCGTATGGGCATCATTTGGGACCCGGAATTTGTGACTTGTAATTTTTTGGAAATTGATAAACAACATATGCATATTAAATGTACTTGCCGGGTCACCC